AAACTGAAAGTGTAAATAAGGATGAAAATGATTAAAATGAATAATTGATAATTTGAAATAGGAAAAGGTCCAAAGGTGGAGGGGTGGCGGGAGGGGAAGGGGAAGGGGAAGAAAGGAAAGGAAAAATTACGAGAAAGAAAAAAAAAAAGGAAACAAAGTCTATGTAAATAGGGAAGGGCGGTGGGGGTGAAAGGCACATAGGTAATGGGGAAAAAAATACGAGCTAAGATACATCACGTTCAGGAACAAACACCCAATGATAAATGTAAATGTATTGTATACCTAAAATGTACCAATTAATATATAAATTTTTTAAAAAAGCACAAGGTCCTGAGTTCAACCCCAGTACCACAAAAAAAAAAAAGAAAAAGAATTTTTTCATCAGCAGGCTGGCATGTCTATCCACATTCATCATCTTTAGTCATTTCTTCCTAAGAAAAAATCCTTTTCTGTTTATTGTTTACCTTCTTTGACAGTCACATGTTTATCTCCTTTTCAGCCTTCCGCCCTCTGTCCAGTATTTCTGGCCTTCTCTCTTTATAAACAAAGCAGCTTCTTTATTGTTCTCATATTCTAAATACACATTCATCTTGTTTAGAAATTCAGAACTTGTTATGAAACATCTCTCCTCTCCTGACTCTTCAGTAGGAGAATTGTAGCCGTCATCCAAGTATTTGTGTCTATGAATGTCAAGATCTTCTTTTTCTAAATCTTCACCAACATTCGTTTCAATGATTTCTTAAAGTGAAGTTCGTATTTCAGTTTATCAATGTAGTTTAAAAAGTCCTCTTGCAATGCCTCGCTCAAAATCTAAAATTTTCCTCCAACGTAATAGTTTCCTTCTATTCTCAGATTATAAAAAGGAAAACCTAGGTCCTTTATCTTTAACTTTTTATTTATTTGTGAACTTCTAGAGTTTCTCCTTCACTTTGGTCTTCCCTTTGGTGTTAATTTTGGCTTGTGTTTCCTTTTTTTGTTGTTTCTTTTTTTTCTTAAATCTTTCAAAAATAGCTTTTAAAGTCAGTAGTCTTGGTTCTGTAGATGAGTCAGTTGTTGGATCTGTTTGAACACTTTCACGTGTATGAGCAAATTTCCTAAAGGATTTTTTTCCCTTTAAATAAAGGAAGGCACACATTGTGCTTTAAATAAGCTGCTAGGAATGAAGAGCTATCATTTTGTTTTTCAATTTTTACAGCTATATTGCACATCATGTAGTTAACAGGATCCATTCTTGATTTATCCATCAACTTTTTTTTTTGCCTTAAAGTTTTCTCCTCCAACTGTGTTGCAAAAAAAAGCTCATGTTTTTATTTTTTTGTTGTTGGTCTTTGTTTTGTTTTGTGCTGAGTTCTGTAGGTGCATATAGTGTGAAGACTTTATTGCTAGTATAGAGATCTCTTTAGTTAGTTTGCTTTTCAGTGATGTGCTTCAGGCAAGGCTAGCTATAGTCCTTTGCCTCTGCCCGAAGATCTGATCACTTCAGTTAATTTGGGAGGGGAGAGTGCAGTGCAGTGCAGTTAGCCCAACACTGAGTTCTCAGGGGATGTACCTCAGTATTGTTAATGTCACAAAGGTAATCTGGGTATCAGCATACTGGGAAACCCACTAACAAACAACCAAGAATATAATTATCTTTGGAAATATCCCTAAATATTGACAGATACCCTTTCAAAGGAAGCACTGTTGTGATACACTTCCTGTAGAACCTTAGTCCGCCACATCTGGCTTCTTCCTCACCACCATGGCATAGTCCTTGCTCTCATTCAGTGCAACCACAGTAGAAAGATGATGTACAATGAAACTTACAGAATATATAGAAATTGGAAGAAAGCATTCATAATGTATTTTAAAAGTTAAAAACTTACCACTAATGGTAAGTTTAATGATGAAATAAATTTGTTAATCTTCTACTAATAAGTTATTTCAAATCTGATAAATTATTGCCTTACAATTCTTAATTTTCTATTCCAAGGGCTTCATTATTTCAAAAATGTTGTGCTGGTGGGATCTCTACAGGATCGCTACGTTCCTTATCATTCTGCACGGATTGAAATGTGTAAAACAGCCTTAAAGGACAAACAGTCAGGTAATTAAGTAAATTTAAAGTGTTTCTCATAGAGTTGTATCTGTGAATGAGCTTTTCCCAAAATTTTTCATATAGTCACTTCTTTCTGTCATCCTTTTTTTTACTTCTTTCTCCAACTACTATTAATAACAGCTATCCTTCCTCTTTATTTCTTCAGTTCTTTCTCTCCTGCCATGAGAGCTGTCTTTACAACTGAAAGAGTTTTTTCATCTAATTTTGTTACCTCAAAAGTAATCAAAGCTAGGTGAGGTGGTGTTGCACGCCTGTGATCCCAGCTGAGGTAGAAGGATCCTGTGCTTAGGCCAGTCTGGGCTACATAGTGAGTTCAAGGCCAGCCTGGAATACATAACAAAGGCCCGGGGGGGGGGACAGACAAAACAAAAGTAATCCATGCTTGGATTTCCTCTTTACTGGGACTGGTGATTGTGGTAATGGACCTTGTGACCATGCTGCATATGTTTTGCTGTGTCTCGCGTTCAGGCAAATGGCAACAAAGACTTGCCCCTTTTTCCTGATAGTGAAGTAGGATGGGGTTTTTTTTGTTTTGTTTTTGCTGTTTGTGAATAAAAAAAATAATTTAAATCATAGCTATTTGCAGCCAGAAAGAGACTGGGTCCTGTTGCCCAGAGATAGCAAGTGGCTTATCCAGAGTCACAGGCTGAGAGCAAGAATCTGGGTCTCCTGCCTCCAGTTGTCTCAGGTCTGTTTTTGAAACAAGACTGATTTTAAACTCTTGATCCTTTGCTTTTTGCACATTGTGACAGTGAACATCTCCTTAAGACAGGACTCTATGCACATTTAGGTGGGCAGTGCTTGGCATGCTACCTAGCACATTGTAGGTATTTACTCATCTAACAGATACTTGTGGCATCAGAATGACCTTTTTTTTTTTTTAAACTTCTTTTCTAGCAAAGGCTAGAATCCACTGAAAGGGAAAATTCAAAGAACTTTAGTTGGGTAGTTGAAACTAGATAAAAGTCCTTTGTTTTAGCAGTGAGATTCTGTGCCACTGGGAGGACAGGGGAAATCTGAGAAGTTTGGACTTTTTCTTGTGTACGCGTACTTTAAAAGTAGCTTGGAACCAGAAATCCAACTTGATTTGCAGTGAAATTAAGAGAGGTGGGAGTAAAAAAATTGTAATGAATTTATGTGATACTAATCCTTACCTTAAACACCTCTTTTCTGATTGTCCTTGCATGTACTCTCCCTTTCTTCAGAACTTCATCCTGTCTCTTCTCTGAAATGTGATACCTACCTCTTTAAAGTTCACAGGCTCCATGGAAATGCCAGTACTCTGTTAGTGACATGTAGCACATAAGCATCATAAACAGTGGCCTCTTAGGCAGTTTGTACATTTATGTGTTTGTACTTGTGTACCTAATCTTTATCTTTTCTGCTTAATGTGGCCTTTGGTAAATCTATTCTAAAAATTAACCAAAAAGGGGGAGAGGAGCACAACTTTGAACAAAAGCTGAACAAAATATTAAAGTTTGTTTTTTTAATTTAACCAAGTACTAAATAAAAAAGGTATACTGTTCTTTGAGTCAAGCTCACATTCTTCTGACTACAGAGTTGCTGTTCTTTCTCAAAACAATTTAGAAATGTTAACTACCGTAGAACATTTTAGACATTCACGACAGGTCCATATGTGCGTGACTTGTTCCATCAGGTGGCTTATTCCACCCAATGGGATCATCCCAGCCACCCAATGGGACAGTCATGCAGGTACCCCCAGTGGTTCAAGCCAGTGAAACATGTTAAAGAATTTGTTGTAAACTAAATTATTTTCTTTTGCCTTGTCAAGGCGTTTTACCATTACTAGTATGTTTTTATAATGGTTTAATGAGTTACCAGTGATTTAATGGTGAATAAAACAATTTGCTTGTTACCTGCATTGAATTTAAAATATCAAGTTGACAAAATGTATAACAAAATTGTCATTTTTACTTGGCTGGACAATGTGATTATTTATATTTTCAAAGAGAATTTTAAAAGAGTCTTAAATGGTCGCTGAAGAAAAGTATTTTAAAAGAAATCATTTGCAGGCCAGGAGTTGAGCTCAGTGGTGCCGCCACCTGCCTTGCAAGCTCAGGGTCCCGAGTTCCATCTCCAGTACCAAAAACAAAAAGAAAGAAATTGTTTGCTTTATGTGAAAATTAATATAACTAAATCTTAAAATTTACATAACAGTTGCTGTACAATTTTTCTAGTCCCTCATATGAATGGTGTTCCTTTTCCTGTTTGCCCATAGGACAGATCTATTCTGAAATGATCCACAACTTGCTTCGCCCGGTTCTGCAAAGCCAAGACTGTAACTTGGTGCGCTACAACGTCATCAATGCTTTACCCAATACCGCCGATTCACTCATCGGGAGAGCGGCACACATAGCTGTTCTGGATTCGGAAATATTTTTAGAGAAATTCTTTCTGGTTGCTGCCCTCAAATATTTCCAGTAGAATAAAAGCATTGTTAGAGACTTGACAATTACCTCATTCAACAGTGATTCAAATAGTGTATTATAATTAAATTAGATGCCAATACATTCTAAGAAATATTTATACCTTTTATATGGAAGATAATTTATATCATCCATGTGTAGAGCTTTTTAAACATCAGTTTTACTTTCTAGGTAATGTGGCTGTGCAATATTTTTAATTTTCTCTTTTTACTTTTCTATTACTTTTTCATATATTTTGCTACCTAAATATTTCAGTGAAATTTTAAGCCCATACCTATGACTGATTATTTATTACTGGCTTTCTGCAGTCCTTACATCAGACTACATCCTATTAGAGGCAGTTATTACTAGAATAGCATGAGGTTTTAAATTTTCTAGTTTTGGGGTATTATTTAGTTAACTATAAATTTTACTTTTAACATCTTACTCTGTTTTAACTGGAAATAAAGTTATGGCTGCTAAAATATATTTTTTGAAATCAACTTCTTTAGTCCTAAAATATACTTTTATCATAAGATCAAACCAGGTAGTTCATACATGACAATGTTATAAAAGTTTTCTATCAATTCATTACTGTTGCTATTAAACATATGTCATGCCTATTAAAATATATTTTCTACTGGTAGGTTCAACATTATTTCTCATGTTGACTTTTATTAAAGATTTTTGAATGTTTGAATGCTCTCTGCCTTGATTAGATTGGAACTTTGCTAAATTTGGTAATGTTGCTTGAACTTTCTGACCATATTTCTTTGAACTTTTTTCATGGACTTCCTTGTATGTACATAATAACTAAATGTTGAAATTTATGAAATACTTTTATGGATTTAGATAATTTTTAAATGTTAAATTTTATTGATCTAAAGAGTATTGTAAATAAAATAATTCATGTTAAAAATGGAAAAAATAACTTTACATGTTTGGTGATACAGATGCAAATGTTTTTGATATATGGAGATGTTGAGTCTTTTGACTTTACTAAAGGTGCTGAATAGCATTAAATTCACTATTTTCTTTTCCTGTTTTGTGAAAATAATAATGCACTAAGGGTGGATGGAACATGTTTACATTCACCAATTATAATGAACAGGAGGTTTTTGTAAGTATATATTGTATAAGTGATGCATGTTTATTTTTAGCATCATGTTATTGGTGTTAATAAATGAAAAAATGACTATCTGGAGGAACAGCTAAAGCACTTGTACTTCTTTGCTTATTCTTGGAATAATGTAGGTACAGTAACCATGCCACGTAACAATGTTTCAGTCAACAATGAACCAAGTATTCAGTGGTATCTACCATATAGCCTAGGTGTGTAGTAGGCTATATTAAGTGTGTATACTATACTCTGATATTTGCACAATGATGAAATCATCTAATAATATGTTTCTCAGAGTGTTTCCCCATCGAATGATTCATATTGAAAATATTTTATTTACAATTAGCTACACTAATTCAGTTCTATAGACCAATCATTTGTATATACCAAGTAGTTAAAGGAGAAGTACTCAAATTTTTCAAACATTGACTAATATATCAAGGACATTATAATTGGACAATGTAACTATATCAATTATTCACATACTTTTGCCACAGAATTTTCATCTTCCTACGTACCTTGGTCCTCAGTTGGAACGTCATGCATATTCTAAGTTTGAATAATTTCCGGACATATCAAAGGACTCGTTCTTATTCATGATAACTATTTTTTTTCTTCTGGTGATACTGGGGATTGAAGCTAGAGCCTTCATGCCCAGCTACATCTCCACCCCCATTCCATCATTTTTTAAATTTTGAGACAGAGACTCTTAAATTACCCAGGCCAGGCTTGAACTTGTGATTCTCCTGCCTCAGGCTCTCAAAGTGCTGGGATTTACAGGTCTGTACCACCACACCTGGCTTCATAGTGTGCGTGTGTGCGTGTGTGTATGTATGTGCATGTGCTGGGAACTGAACCCACGGCCTTGTGTGTACTAGGCAAGTGCTTTCCATTGAACTATACCCCCTATCCCTTATTCATAATGATATAAACAGTACCTGAATAAACTGTTCTTAGGATCATAGTTGGCTAATTGTTTGTTATTTCAATACAGTATTAAAAGCATTATCAGTGAACATGCTTTAAAAACTAACATTTAGTTTTTGATTTATCAGGAAACTGTCATACATTGTTTTACTTCCAGATTCAGCTTGTGAGAGATGAGGTAAGGTTCTAAAGAAAAGGAGAAATTGTTAGCTAATGTGATATAATTGACCTAGAGAATGACATATATCAATAAGGTTTCATGATTGCAAAGAATAAAACAAACTTAAGCAGAAAAAAGGAATGTATTGGAAGAATAAGCAGTTCCCAGAACTGATATAAGGGCTAGAGAACCAAGTTTGGAAAGAGATAGGAGCCAAAGGAAACTAGGTGACCAAAATCATAGCCAAGTTCTGACCTTAAGAAATGGTGAAAGGGGCCAGGGATTTAGCTCAGTGGTTTCACCACCTGCTGCGCAAGCACAAGGACCCGAGTTCGATCCCTGGTACCAAAAAAAAAGAAAGAAAGAAAAATGGTGAAAGACCGTGTGTGCCTTTGCTGGCAGCAGTGCCCCTGAAAACTGGAATTCAAATACTTGCATCACAAACTCCAGATTCAAAGTCTAGTGGAAATGCCCAGCTAACCCAAGTTTTGTGCCAGTGCTCAGGCTGTCAGGCATCAGAGACAGCAGTCAGCTTCCAAAGTCGAAAATGGTGTGACTTTTCCAAGATTCACCAAACTAAGAAACAGGGATAATAGTAGCACCAAATATAAAAACATCAGAGATCTACCTCAGTAGATCCGTTTGTCTTACTGACATCGTTGTACTTATACCCATTTTAAATGCTTCCTCTTGATAGTACCATAACCCTCAAGTCCAGGATCTCAGCAGCGTCTCGTTTGACTCTGTAATGATCTTGTCTCAGTAGTTTGCAACTCATAGGCAAAGGTGTGACTTAACCATCACCTCCATACAAAATAATAGTGTAGGAATGGGAAAATAAGGAAATTAATTTCATAGGCATCCGTGAGCCAATGAGAAAGGAAATAGAGCTAGAACAATATTTTGCAGGCTTTCGATGAGAATCACCTGAACTACTTGCTACAACAAATTCCAGAGCCCCATTACAGACCAATAGAGTCCATTTCTAGGATAGGGTATGACTAACAGCATGTCTTATGTCCCAACTTCTGTGATGAAAAACACCTACGGTAGGCACAGTTCTTAGTTCTTAGTCTTACTGGTCATGAGTCTAGATGGTTATGACTTCTCAACACTGCCTCCTCTTCCCTATCCCTTAGCTGCCCAAGGATCTGAACTGTAGGTAGTCTTGCCTATATGTGGGGGAAATAGTCTAATTTTTATAGTCCAGCATGCTGTAAGAACAGAGCATGGTGAGGAGGTATTCTAGGAGACCCCTGAGTTCTAGTACTCCTTTCTCTGTGCCCCTTCTCCTTAGTCCTCAGTGTCAGTCACTCCGGCTAATACCATATAACCACTTCTCAAACCCCCTTTCCTAGAGGAATGAGCTAGAAACGGCCAGGTAGTAATCCTAGTGTCCAGTTTAGAGAAAATGTTATTCTATCTCTTTGTGGAAGATCCTCCTGGGTACAAAAATTGCTACACCGATAGAACGTGGAATCCTGGAGATGAATGGCAAGAGCAGTAAAAGCTATAAGATTCTATCCTACTTGCGAGCTAATGGATTAGCCTGCTACAATTTCTTGGATGCTGAAAGACTCCTAGGTTAAAAAAAAATTATTACAGCAAGATATCCATAAAATAGTCTCAAACAGAAATACAGGAGATTGAAAACTATTGAGAGTATAGGTAGCAGAATCAACGTAAGGACAAAATATCAGACCTAGAAAACGGCTGTAGTTGGTGATCAACTAATGAGACATACCTTAAAAATATCAAGGAACCATGAAAAATCAATCTAGCAGCTGGTAGATGATGCAAACACTAAGATTAATTGGAATCAATGAAAAATCAGAAGATAGCACAATGGGCATTAAAACCTATTTACAGAAGTAATAGAAAACTTTCTAAACATGGGAAAGGAATTTGGCAGATTACAGAGAGGTAGCCAAATGTCAGTATATGAGCATCAGTTCCTAGAGCCCCAGTCCCCACGGAATGGAGCAGAGGGCTGGGTGACTGCCTCACACATAGCTGCATTACAAGGGAAGAGTCCGGGGCTGAGGCCCAACGGTTTTGAGCTAAATCAAAACAAGCCAGGAAGGCATGGTGGCACATGCCTGTGATTTCAGCACTCTGGGAGGCTGAGACAAGAGAATCTCAAATTCAAGTCTCTCCTGATCGATTTTGAGAGATCGATTCAAAAAATAATAATAAAAAGGGCTGGGCACGTAGCTGAGTAGTAGAGCGCCCTCGGGTTCAAACTCAGTATCAAAAGAAAAAGAAAAAAAATAATATTTAAAATAGTGATTGCTAGAGACTGAAAGGGCAAGAGGAGAAAGGAATAAAGGAGGCTGGACAAGAGGTTCTGAAACAGTTTGATTTGGGGTTTACTAAAGGTAGAGTTCAGGGTAGCTCTGGGTAGTTCTAGGTTTTAGCTGGAGGCTGCTGCGCAGGTGCAGATGAGTGGCGCTGGCTGCGTAGGCGCCCCCCCACACACACACACACAATGCCCGCCCCGCGGCGGGCGCTGCCCCGCCCCACTTTTCCTCCGCTGCGCTTGTGCAGACACCTCAGGACGCTGCATCATGATGGTATCCAGGCTCGCGGGTTTACTTGGCCGAGTCCACGCCACCCCTTGGAGAGCGGCAAGTAAGGCGCCCAGTCTGGGCGGGGTCGCAAAGGTTCAAGCACTCCCGCGGAGTAAGCCCTGCGCGTGCTGACAAGCGGCAGCGTCTGTAGAGCTTTTCTTTTCCGCTCGGCCACTGGCGCTTCTTGGGTCTTGGGTCTGCTCCTAGAGCCGGAGGTGGGACAGGCACTTCCGGTCCGCGGCCCTTTTCCTTCCGGCCACGGCCCTCACCCGGAAGTGCCGAGCAGGTTGATTGGCTCTGGGGCCTTTCGGGGAAAATGGTGCAGAAGGACTTTGGGAGCAGAAGTGGTTTACTCGCTTAAATCTGAAAGGATTCGTGGCCGTTAGAAAAATTCAGAAGTGGGCCAAAGGCTGAGTAGTATGTATAATAAAAATTAGGTGAAGCCAGAAATTAGTGCAGAAGAAGCATGCATACTTTCAGAAAAAACCAGCACTTTTTAAACCATTCTTGTTGGACTCCTCAAAATGGCACTCAGAAACTCATAGTATGCTAAGCATGACTTTAAGTACAACGTACTGAAAAGTTAGGTACACTATATAAATTGAAAACACAATTACTGACTTCATAGTAAATGGCCTGATTTCTGTGCAACTTGTTTTACTTTTTATATCATTTTCCTCAACATGTATTACTGTATTGTAAAAATCTTAAAATCAGAAATGAACATTATAGAAAATGAACATCTGACAGTATCCAGATCTCAAAGTAATAATTATGATTGTGTTCGTTCAACATTCCTTTTTCACCAGCTTGATCAATTTGGTGCAAGTATAAGTTATGAAGCAAAAGCAACGTTATGAACCCATTCTCCAGTTTAAGATGTAGACTATTTGTTACCAACAAGCTGCTTTGTGTTACAATCGTGGAAATCTGTAATTTAAAAAAATCTTTATAGAAATAGTTTCATACAGTTTATATTTATTTGCTTTTCTCGGCTAATACTATGTTTTGAGATTGAACATACATGTTTGAGGAGGTGGTTATTCCACCATGGGTATGTGGCACATTTTATCTTTTCCTTCTCAGTGGACCTTAGAGTGATTCTAGAATCACCAGAATTGGCTTCTGCACACTTTGTGTCTGTTACCCATGCTTGGTGCAAGGAGTGGAGTCCCTGCAGAACAGTATGAGCCTGTTCATCCTTACAGCACCATACCAAGTTATACAGGCATTTTTTGGTCCCACTAGCAGTTTACACTGACGTATGCCTGCAGTATATTATAGTTCTTGTTGTTCCACACACTTAGCAACATTTGATTTTGTCTGAAAGTTTAATTTTCAGCTCCCAAGAGAGTGTTACAATGGTATCTCATGATTTTACTTTTTTTTTTTTTTTCAAACAGCATCTCACTATGTAGTTCAGACTGGCCTTGAACTCCAGGCAATCTTCCTGCCTCAGCCTCCAGGCACATGCCACCATGCCCGGGACACTTTTTTTCTAATTAAACATTTTTCAGATTTTTAGTAGTTTTTTGTGTGAGATATCTCATTTTCTTAATGGATTATCTTTCTCGTTTATGTTCTTTACTTATGTTTGGATGCTAACCTTTGTTAACTTTTTTTTCCGGGTGCTAAGGATGAACCCAGGGCCTTGTGCAGGTGCATGCTGGGTAGGCACTCTACCACTGAGCTAGGTCTCCAACCCCCACTAACCTTTTTTAGTTATGTTGCCCAGGCTGCTCTTTAGCCTTTGGGCTCAAGTCATCCTCCTGCCTCTTCTTCTAAGTACAGTAGTTGGGACTACAGGTACAAGCTGCCATGAGTGGCTATAGTGTGTCTTTCTGTGAAATTCATATAAACACAAGACAGAATAGAATAATGAGCCTGCATGTACAGCCATGTAGAGTCAATAATAAAAGTATCTTTTAACGAACAGATATTTATACTTTTATTTTAATCTTATCTTGATCTTTTGTTTATTGCTAGTGCCTTGTGGTCTTGTCCCAGAAAGCTTTCACTACCCTAAACTGATATAGGTATTCTATACAGTATTTTCTTCTCAAAGGTCTGTAGTTTTACTTTTTACATTTAAGGTTTTTTCCTACTAGGAATTGATTTTCATATATGATGTGACCCAAGAAACCAATTTCTTTTCTTTTCTGTACAAATGACTATTCTTCACAGTTCCATGTACAGTATTTATAAGACCTTTGCCACATTGATATCATACCAGGTGTCATAAATCAAGTTTACGTATATGCAGATTCATGAGTTCAAGAAATCTCCTGTGCAGCATGGTGACTATACTTAATAAGAATGTATTGGATACTTAGAAATTACCGAGTGTAGCTTTTAAGTGTCATAAATTCAAATAAATTCTTAGTCTATGAGGTAATGCATATTATTATTAGCTTGATTCAGCTGTTTTACAGTGTATACACATTCTACAGTGTGTACCCCAACATGACGTTGGGACTGGGGATGTAGTTCAGTGGAGCATGCAGAAGCCCCAGGGTTTAATTCAGCACCAAAAATTAAAAATCATATTTTATGCCATATATATTTATTTGTGAACCTAAAAGTAAATAACAGGAATATATTGAGAATTTTTAATTGTAAATGTTATATATTTTAATTATGTTGCTGTCTTTTTCCCTTTTTCTGTGTGTATTTTTTGGGGGGGAATGAGGAAATGATGTATCTCGATCAGCATATGGCTAGATTTTGGTATTTTGTCACTAACTATCCTTTTTAACCAGAGTTTAGTCCATTTATACTTATTGTAATTGCTGATATATGAATGCTTTTCATCACTATAATAAAACACCTGAGAGGCAGGTTAACTATTAAAGGAAAGAGATATAGTTTGTTCACAGTTTTGGAGATTCAAGGGCATGACATCCTCATGAATCAGGTCTGGTGAGGCGCTCATATTGGATGGCAGTGGTGGGAGCACATGCAGGAAGAAAAATCACGTCTCAGGAATCTGAAGTTTCTAGCTCAGCCTTTTATGGCAGCTCACCCTGGCTCCAGACCAGAAATCCACTCCCCAGTCACCCCAGCCTCCTGCTCCGCCCTGCCCCCAGAGGTTCTGTCGGCTCCCACCTCCCACTTGAGCTCTGACAGGTGAACACAGGGCCCAGAGCTAAACACATGGAAGCTGAAGAAGCTGAATGTTGGTGTGATTAGCTTTAGTTCCGCAATCTTACTTTTTGCACCTTCAGTCTGTCAAACTTTGTTTGAACTAAATTTTTTCTTCCCTTTTTCTTTCTGCTGGTTTGGAAGACATGCTTAGTTCTGCTATATTAGTTCAAATTCATACTTTAAAATACATACTTTAGGGTGGGGATTTAGCTCAGTGGTTCCCCTGCCTGCTTTGCAAGCGAAAGGTCCCGAGTTCGATCCCTGGTACCAAAAAAATTTTTTAAATAAAATACATACTTTAAAAAGTCTGAAGTAAATTAATATCCTCAGACTGAAGAGTAGCAAGTTTAAGAATACTGTGGATTCGCTCATTCTCTACCTCTGTTGTTCATTCTTGAGTGCGTGTGTGTGTGTGTGTGTGTGTGTGTGTGTGTGTGTGTATGGGTTCCTGGGGTTGGTTTGTAGTTCTTTGAAGCAGGGAACTGCTATGTAGCATAGCTTGGTGCCCAGCTTGCTGTGACCCTCTTGCCTTGGCCTCCTGAGTAGCTGGGATTGCAAGCTTGTGCCACCAAGCCCAGCTATAAGCTTTTATTCGGCTACTTTTAAGATTTCTGATGTTGGGCTTCTCTTTTTACTTTGTGTCCGATTATGGCTTTGTTTCTCTTTATTTTCTGCCACCTGTGTGCTGTCTCCCCTGATTTTTCCATTCTTCTGGAAATATGATTAAATATCTGTTATACCTTATTTTTTCGTACACATGTTTTAACTATTTTCATTTCCTTATTTTTATGCTTTTTTATATATAATTTTTTGAAACTTTCCAATTCTCTCTCTCTCTCTCTTTCTCTCTTTCTTTCTTTCTTTCATTTTTTGAGGCAAGGTCTTGCTATGTAGTTTAGGCTGGCCTTGAACTCACTGTGTAACGACCCAGCCTGGCCTTGAACTCTCAGTGATCCTCCTGTCTCAGCCTCCTGAGTGCTGAAATCACAGGCATGTGCCACCATGCCTGCCCCAGTTCTCTTTTCATTTGTACCTATTTTGCCATTTAACTCTCCACCCCACCCAGTACAAAGAATTGAAACTCCCAGCTACTGAGCTGCATCCCCAGCTTTTCCTATTTTTTATTTTGAGACAAAGTCTCAATAAATTGCCCAGGCTAGCCTCAAATCTGTGATCCTTCTGCCTCAGTGTCTCGAGTAGCTGGAATTACAGGCTGTTATGGCTGTGTTTAGATGTCCCCCAAAGTGTCACATGGTCATGGGTGGGACTTTTCAAGGGTGGCTGGACCTAGAGTGTGTTATGCTGGCAATAAGTGTGGGCGATCACTGCACTGGTCCACTGGTTGATTGGTTTGGCGCTCCCCTGATCTTGGTAGCCTGGATACTGTGCAAGGAAGGGACAGAAAGAGCTGTGCCGGGCCCCTTGCTCTCTCATTGCTTTTGCTCTCTTTGCCTGCAATAAACTTTCCCCTCTGCGATGTCCCTCTCCTCTGCCTCCCTGCCTTGGAGCCAGCCAACTATGGACTGAACCCTCTACAGACTGTGAGCCAAATAACCCTTCCATCCTTTAACTCTGGGTGTCGGGTGTTTCACCTCAGCAACAAGAGAAGTAACCAAGACACGGATGGGTATGTGGCCATCGTGCCTGTCCTATTAGCCTTTTCTTTGAGCTTGAAATGTAAGTTAGTATTATATTTCTAAATTTTCATGTCTATTGTTTTCTGCCTTTTTGCCTCCTCATTTTTCACTCTCTTATTCATGACTCATTTTTTGCTTCCTTTTTAATCTCTTTAACTGTATCAGTTAGGTATTTTATATTCCAGATTCTGTGTATGGAGTCTTTGGTTTGCCCCACTATTGTTTGTTGATCCTGCTGGCTCTTGTTTGTGGAATTCATGTTGTTGATTATTGTACTGTGATTCCATCTGCGGGCATCCGCAAGCGTGGGTTGTGAGGAGGTCTCTTTTGCAAGGATTTGTGTAGAAGTGCTTGAGATTTGGACGTGGATCCATTTCATAGCACCACAACCCCCGGGTGGGGCTGTGCAGAGCCTGAGGTCTGAAAGGCGGTGCAGTCGGCCATGACTTGGGAGACTCATTGTGGCCTCTGTCATTTCCCTGCTGGCCCTAAAGCTCTGCTCTCCGAGCTCTACAGGAAAGATACAAAGTGCAGCAGTTTCCGTTTAAGTGTTGTTTTTTTTAACCTCAGTGGTCTGCATTTTAAATTTGTCATTATTTACTTTCACAGAGGTTTTATCAGATTTAGAAGTGGTCTGTATATTGCATTAGCTTTCTTTTTGTTGTTGTTGCTGTTTTTTGTGTTTTGGACAGGATCTCACTAGGCAGTTCAGGCTGTCCGTAACTCGCTATGTAGGTTGCCCTTGAACTCTCAGTGATCCTCCTGCCTCAGCCTCCTGATTGCTGGGATCATAGGTGTCCGCCACTATTCCTGTCATTTGAATTAGTTAGCTTTCTGTCATTGTAAATTCCCTGAGAGAAATCAACCTCAAAGAAGGAAAATCTGTTTGGCTCACAGTTTCAGAGGTTTCAGTCCATGGCTGGCTGCTCCCAGGCATCGGCAGAAAAAGTTGCTCACCTTCGGGCAGCTGGGAGAGGGAAGGAAGGGGCTGGGGACAAGGCCCTTAAAATGACTTGTGTGTGTCTCACTACCTCCATCTTTATCAGGCTGATGTACATGGACTAAATGTTATCATTGAAAAACTCAGTATGTAAGTCCTTTTTTTTTTTGAGACAGGTTCTTGGTGTGTGGTCCAGGCTGGTCTTGAACACAGGATCCTCCTGTTTCAGCCTCCCAAATGTGGAGATTACAAGGGTGCACCACCATCTCAGCTTCTTAGATACTTTTAAGCACTCCTCTTGACAAATTAGAGGAATCTTTTTTATTTTTTTTGGTACCGGGGATTGAACTCGGGTCCTTGCACTTGTGAGGCAGGCACCGGAACCACTGAGCTAAATCCCCAGCCCTCTTAGATACTTTTAATGGTCTGTGTCCTGGTGTGTTGGCATTGCTGACAGGAATCAGTGTTCTATATGTTTCTACAGTTTTGATAATGATCACCACTTCATAGCTTCCTTTCAAACTAGTGACATTGGTACAAATGGAGGAAAATGGCTGTCTAGAAAGTAGGGGCACAAGGAAGTGTTTTCACTCCACTTTTGTGTCTTTTGAAGCTTGATAAATGTGAATGTATAAACTAAAGACATATAAGTAAAATTATTCAATTTTTAAGCAGAATAAATGAACAGCTCCATTTCTGCTCTGTCCACTGTGCCAGGGTCACCCCCACTCTGTCATTCTGTGAGGAAAAGCAGCTCCTCTCTAGGGGGGAAGGCTGAGCCCGCCACACCACCCCTCAAGAAGCCCAAGCTCCCGCTCGGTCGTTTTGATGCCCCCGAGGGTTCTCATCTGGACCATGAGCCACTTACGAGTGAGTACAGCCGCGCTTCTCTCTTCATTCTGGACGCATCAAGGAAAATGTTTTAGTCACTGAGGAAGGAAATGAAATATCACTTATAATCCTTTATTAATAATCATGTTTCTTTTTTTTGGTTTGGTTTTGTATTGTGGTAAAAACAGACCTAGCATTAAATTTGCCATTTCATCTTTTTTTAGAGTTTATTTTGATTAGTACATGTGTGCAGTACATAATCATTATGTTCCTTGTGTGGAGTTGGTTCATGTATGTAACACAGCCCAATTCTATTTTCATCCCGCCCTTCCCCCCATCTCCTGATCCCCTTCCCATTTGAGAAAGACCTACCTCCCTACTTCCTATTATCTTTTATTTTGCTCTTTTTTTTAATAATTTGAGTTTCTCATGTAAGAGAAACTCTGTGATATTGAAGCTTGTGTGTCTCTCTTCAACAATGAGTAAAATTCATGTACTGGCCATCAACATGTGTGTTTTTTTAAAAAAAAGATTTCTACCTGGGAATAGTGGTACACACCCATAATCCCAGTACTCAGGAGGCTGAGGCAGGAGGACTACCATGAGTTAGAGGCCAGCCTGAACTACATAGCAAGATCCTGTCTCAAACAAAACAAAAGTTCAACAGCAGGAGGTGCAATGGATTGTCCTTAGGGGACAGGGTAAAGTGGGGCATGCAAGCCTACTAATGATGCTGGGCTTTAAAAAAAGACTGGGAACTCGGTAAGGTGGGCACAGTGGTGTGCACCTGTAATGCAGCACTCAGGAGGCTGAGGCAGCAAGATAGCAAGTTTGACCCCTGTTTAAACAACTTAGCAACTGAAAGAGAATCTGTCTCAAAAAAGAAAAAAGAAAAAATCCTGGAAACTCAGTGCAAAGCATTCTGTGACTGAGACAGTTAGACTGGGACAGTTCTTCCTTCTCTTGTCACTCATCACTTTTCTCGATCCTTCCCTGTCTCCAAAGGAGCTTGAAGTCCACTGGGCAGAGAGTAACTGCTCCTGGCAGCTGCTCAGCTCGAGAGCAGCCAGCCTTAGATCTCCCAGTCCTTGAGAAGGAAGCTCATCAGCCTGGCTTGGGCCCAGGGCCCACGGCTAAGTCACTGGGGTAGCAGTGAGTCACTCGTAAAGGCGGCTGTTCTCACTGTGCAGCTGTGAGTAGAGGGAAGGGTAGTGCTGAGGACAAAGAGGTTTGGGGGATGGTGACAGCCTAAGCATTTTTTGCTTTTGTTTGTTTTTAGTACTCGGCATTGAACCCCGGCCCCACACATGCTGAGCACATGCATTACCACTGAGCAGCATCCCCAGCCTCTCATTTGTACTCAGTATGCATATGTGGCTCATGTCAGATAGCTCTGTCTCTAAAGTACTACTTTATCTTCATTCTGTACCCTTCGCACCTGTGAACTGTAGAATGTATGGAATTTTAGCTATTTAAAAATAAAACAGCACACATCTAATCTCACCACTTTGGTCCTCAGCAAGGCTGTCCCTCTTGCCTGGCTTTTGCAGCAAAATGAGGATTAACCCTAGGCAAGAAGAGGTCAGCAGAGGACACCAGCACCTGTGTCTGGATCTTTCTAGAATAGGAAAACTTTTATTATTTGCTAATCAGTAAAATATTTGAGTTTATAGCACTTTACTGAGCTCAATCTAATAACCAGACCAATCAGCCAAGATGATGGAGATTTTTCAATAGTTGTCATAAAAGGTTTTCAGTAATTTCAGTGTCCACAAAGGCCCTGGTTTCAATCCCACAAGAAAGGAAAGCAAAAAGATAAGGGAGGGGCCACAAGCCACTGGATATGGGCAGCAGCTGGTAGCTGAAAAGCACATGGGAACCAGTTTCTCTCTCAAGCCTTCAAATGGAGCACAGCTCTGCTGGTATCTTGACTTTAGCCATTGAGAATGTGTCAGACTTCTGTCCTCTAGAACTGTAAGATAATAAATTTGTAGCATTTTAACCAGAAAGTGAGGAATGATCACACAAGAAGAAAGCAGCAACCCCAAAATAAACTCTCACATATATGGTCAATTGATTTTTTGTTGTTGTTGTCATTGTTGGTACTGGGGATCGAACTCGGGACTTTGCACTTTCGAGGCTGGCGCTGGAACCATTGAGCTAAATCCCCGGCCTGGTCAGTTGATTTTAACAAAGGTACCAAAGTCATTCAGTTCGGGAAAAGACAGTGGGCCTTCTCAGTAAATGATGCCAGGAAGACTGGGTATCCACATGCAAATGAATGAAGTTGGACCTTTCATATAGAAAAATTAATTCAAAATACATTAAAAAATCTAAATTTAAGGGCTAAAACAAGAAAGCTTTTAGAGGAAAATAAACGAGAGAAATCTTCACATTGGGTTTGGCAGTGATTTCATGGCTATGGCACTAAAGGCACAGGCAAATAAATACAAAGGACTTCATCAAAGTTAAGAATATTTTTACATCAAAAGTCATTAAGAGGAGCTGGGGATTTAGCTGAGTGGTACTGCTGCCTGCCTCATTAAGTGCAAGGTCCTGAGTTTGATCCCCTGTACCAAAAAAAAGAAAAAAGTCATCAAAAAAGCAAAAAGATATCCTACAGAAAGGGTAAAATAGGTGCAAATTATATACTTAATAGGGTATTAATATTCAAAATATACAAAAAGCTTGCAATACAATGACCAAAAAGAAAAAACCCAGTTCGAAAATCAGCAAAGGACTTAAATGGACATTTCGCCAAATAACATAGACAAATAACCACCAAGCACATGAAAAGATGCTCAGCATCATTAATATTAAGGAAATGCAAATCACAGTAATGATGGATATCACTTCTCACCTACAAAGATAAAAAAATGGAAAGAGGGCTGGGGATTTAGCTAGCTGCACAGTGCCTACCTGGCAAGCGTGAGGTCCTGAGTTCAATCCCTGGTACCAAAAAAAAAAAGGAAAGTAATAAGTAATTGATGGCAAGGATGTTGTCTTAGTCAGCTGACACATAGGGCATATGCACAGATACCTAGAGCAAGCATTTGTGGTACGTACGTTATTCACAGTAGCAAAAAGTGGAAACCAAGTATCTTTCAGCACGTGACTGGATAAAGGTAATATGACATGTGCAAGAAAGACTTACAGTCATAAAAAATAATGATGTTTTGACATATGCTACCACATGGGCCTTGAAAAATACTGTATTTAGTGAAATAAGCCAGACACAGAAGGACAGATTTTAAATGATTCCACTTATATGAGGCACCAAGAATAGGCAAATTCGTAGAGAAGAAAGTAGAAAATATGTTATCAAGGACTGGGGAGCAGGGGAAGGAGGAAGTTACATTGAGGCTGATATCAGAAAAAAATTTGGTATAGGTAGTGCTGATTGTTATACAACATTGTGATTGTATTTAATATCATTTTACAAATAGTTAATGTTTTACCACAGTAAAAAAGCTACAGATTTCAGAAGCTATTGATATGTATGACACGAGATGTCTTAGTTACTTTTCTTTCATTCCTAAGACGAAATACCTGACACCCAAAGTTAAAGGGGAAAAGGTTTATTTAGCTCAGTTTGTAGAGGTTTCAGTCCATAATCAGCTGGCTCCAAGGTAGGGTGGCTTGGCAGAGGGGTGTCGCAGAGGAGAAACAGTTCATGGTGCTCATCAGGTAGCAAAAGCAACAAGGGATCTTAACATTATCTTTCTGCCTCTTATATCTTATCCAGGCTACTCAAAGCCATGGGGACCTTAACAGTGTTTTCCTGTCCCTTTTATCTTATCCAGGCTACTTAGGGCAGGCAGCACTCACACCCTTAATCCTAGTGCCCTTGAGCCTAGCACTGCACCATGAATCAATTCCAGGGTCACACACTCTAGATCTAGCCACCTCTGAAAAGCCCCTCCTGTGACGGCATGAAACTTTAGGGGACATCTAAACACAGCCATAACCCGAGGGTAGGGATTTGCCTTAAACTTGGCATGACTGGCATTCATGTTGAACCTCTTATTCTGTAGAAACCTGTCTGACAGACGTCACCCACCCAGCAGATGCTTTCTGGCCCTGGCTGTGTTGCAACAAATGGTCCACAGCCCCTGACCGTGTTAACTTCTGCTTGTGAAAATTTCCCCTTTGTTTCTGTTGTGCACCAGCTTTTCACCCTATTGCTTCAGTTGATTTCTTCCTAGGCTCATGTTTAAATTCCATGGCCTTTGCCCCTAATCTAAATGTGGGCATTGGCAGGTCTCTGTGCTAACCACCTCAGCTTCCCCAGGGGCTCTCCTATCTTCCTAAGATCATCTTAAATGGTGTGTGTGTCTTGCCAGTTCTGCATTTACTGCTCTGGTCAGAGCTCTCCTCAGCCTCACTCCGTCCAGCAGCCTACTGAACGTCTTTCTTTGCATATTCCAAGCATCTTAAAATTAATAATTCTAGGGGCGAGGGATGTAGCTCAGCAGCACCAAACCAGCCTGACAAGCACAAGGCCTGAGTTTGATTCCTGGTACAGGAAAAAAAAAGCAATACTTCTAAAACTAAACTTACTCAACACACATTGTCCCCTTATTTTTATCCCTCCCACCAGCACAACCCAGTTGCCTCCTTTTTTTCTGGAACTCCTGTCTAACCATCTGGGGTAACCCTTCATGCCTGCCTCTCCCTGTCTCTTCTGTCCAGTCACTGACCAAGTCCTTTTGATTATTCCTTAACTCCTTTCAGATCTGTCCCTACTGACTCATCCTACCAGTCACGCCCATATTCAAGCTATCTGTAGCTCTTGGTGTCTGACAGTCTGTTTCCTTCCTTCTATTCTTGTTTCCCTGCCTGTAGTATGTATTTCATTCTTTTTTTTTTTTTTTTACCCCCTTCAGTACCAGAGATCAAACTCAGGACCTTACACTTGCGAGGCAGGCTTGGTGCCACTGAGCTAAATCTCCGGCCCTGTATTTCATTCTTTAAAAAAGGGAAAAAATGTATAGGTTGTCTTCTGCAGAGAGTAGATTTCATTTGTAAGATAATAAAGGAAGATACTTGTAGCCAGGCACCCTTTTTGATACAAAGATTAATAACAAAAATGAGATACGTAGCCACCTAGGAGCAGAACATCATGAAGTAATTAGTGTGACAGACAGAAGTGATCAGACAGAGTTGGACAAAAGAGATGACATCTGAGCTGTAGATTAAAAGAAAACTAAAATCTTTATAAAGATGAAATGTGATGGGAAGATATTTCCAAAAGAAAGATATGAAAAAGGAGAAAGACCTCTTTGGCTTCAGCGTAAAGTTAAAAGAATGTAAGGCTACAAAGAGAGGGCCTGAACTGTCAGGTTAGAGCAGAAGGGCTTTCTTCTGTGGGCAGTGAGGGAAGCGCTAAATGTATTTCAGTCAGCTTAATTAGAGTGTAATCTCCAGATAGTTAAATCCACCTATTTTAAGTATACAGTTCAGAGAATTTTAACAGTGTTTAGTCAGGTAAACAACAGCAAGTATGAAATTATTTTTCTTAGAAAAAACATTCATTGGTACACTTTAGATAACATTCATCGTAAGGAATTTGTACCTGTGCATGATATATCTTGCTGTTTCTTTTTTCCCCCTTCTTTCCCCTCCCTTGTGTAAAAAAGCTTTGTTTCCATTTTTTTCTTGTTTTCTTTTTTTCTTGTCCCTTCTTTCCTTTCCCCCATCCCTTCCCTTGTTCCCCTTTTTATTTGAACATTTTTTCCTATTTCCCCATGTCTACTGTGTATTTTAATCTGCATTTCCACTTTCAGTTTCTCACACCAGAGAAACAATGCAGTATTTAAACATGTGTGTTCAATTTATTTCATTTAAGAGTATGAGCTCAAGGTGCATCCATTTAGCTATAAATGTCTCGAGATCATCCTTCTTTATGACAGAGTAGTAGTACTCCATTGTATTAAAAAACCACATCTAAGTATGAAATTTTTGTTCCCTAAAAAATTCCCTTGGCCCTGTTAACAGTCAGTCCCGCCACCACCTCCTTCTACAACCACTGACCTGTTCTCCATCATTGTAGCTTTGCTTTTTCTAGGATTTTATATACTATATACATGAAATAACACAGTGTGTAGTCCTTTGTGTTTGGCTTTCTTCAGTGTGACCTGGAGACAGAATTCTGTTTTAGAGAGATAATTCAGCCTTCTGGGCAGGTTCAGCCAACATGGCAGTCGGAAAATAGACATGAGTTCGAAAACTTTATTGCATTAGTTAAAAATGGGACACTGAGAACATGCAACAGGGTGGTAGTGGTGAGAATAAAAGCTTTCAGAAAACCTTTGCAGATGATAATAAAGGCAAAAGTTAACATGAAAAAAACAGGCTATGGAAAGATCGGAGCTGTGGTCAGAGAGGAGAGAGCTCGGGGTGTGGGATTTGGAGAAGAAACCTATTGAAGAGAGGGCAAGGCCCAGGAGGATGGTTGTAGTATAGATAAGGGTCACTAGGAGAGGTTTGGGACCCTGCGATTCACTGTTGTGGATGTCAGTACTGGTAAGGACGTCGGATGAAACTCCAAACCAGATATTCATGCTACCCTAGAAGGTACAATGGGTTTGAGATTATTGTAGACTGGAGAAAAGCACTGAAAAAGTGAATTGTGTGGAATCAGAAGAAATGCCTAGAAAGGTTTGATGATAGAATCAGGCTAGAAGGAGGAGTGTGGCCATGAGAACCAGGGACGTCTCTACCTGGTGTTTAAGAGATGGGGTCTTGCTGTGTCACCCAGGCATCCTCCTGACTCAGCCTCCTAGAGTAACTGGGCTACAGGCACACAGTTCTTTCTTCCCTCGTGTTGTAGGCCAAATTGTGTGCCCACCCAGAGATTCTTGCAGTATATTGAAGCCTAGCTCCCACTGTGATGGCGTTTGGAGATGGGGCCTTTGAGAGGTAGTTAGGTTGTGATGAGTCATGAATGGCACTATTCTCATGACAGGAATAGAGCCTTAAGAGAAGGAACACGAGTGTGCTTGCTGTCTCCCTCTGCCATGTGAGGGCGCAGCAAGGAGGGCCTGTCTTTGGGCCAGGAGGAGGCCCTCACCAGAACCCGGCCATGCTGGCACCCTGAGCGGACTTCCGCTGGCTAAGTCCCTTGCTGTGGGATACAGGCAGGGAGAAGGGAGCGCTTCCCTCGGCAAGGTCTTTCGGAGGAAGCCACAGAGCAGGGAGGAGACAGCCTGCAGTCAGAGCCTGGGGAAAAGAGACTTACAGTTCAGCAAAAGTAAAAGAAGGGAGAAATAATTGGAACTCCTCAGGGTAAATTGTGGGTCCTCTTTCTTTGTCCGGGGAAAGGCTATGTTAATTTGGTTCCATGATTTTTAGTTTTCTAAAGAGAATGCATTTAAGAATTGAGTTTCTTTTCCTGTAGCCAGTCCCTCTCCATTCTTGCCCTACGCAGAGCAGAGCTGTGTGTGGTTGAGGGCTCAGCTGAGGCCGAGCATAAGGATTCAGACTTGGCTTCGCCACTTAGTACCCGTGACACTGAGCAACCTTCCTAACCTGCTTTGTCTCACTTTCTCATCTACAAAATGGGACAATGTTTCTTCCTTTCTTGGGGATAATTATAAGGACTGAATGAGTTAACATTTATTAAGTGCTCAGAATTGAAAGACATTTGGAATTGAAAGCGTGGGACTCTCCACTGCTTTTGATTGATTGGGCCCTGAAGTTTGAGGTCAATCTGGGCAACACAGCAAAGCCCCATCTCAAAAAAGAATAATAAATAAATAAAATTAAAGTGCTCAGAATTGGACCTGCCTCATGTTGGGAATTACAGTCTGAACACAGTATTAAGAATATTAGTTGCAGGGCCGGGGATTTAGCTCAGTGGTTCCACTGCCTGCCTCACAAGCACAAGGACTCGAGTTCGATCCCCAGTACCAAAAAAAAGAATATTAGTTGCAGTTGTATCCATGACAGGACCACCTGACCAGTTACTGAAGCCAAAACCCCATGATAATGAACAATAGTACTCATAGCTAAAAGTAATCAACATTCTTTGTGCATGGCACTATGCCAGATGCTTTATGTGTGTTGCCTTGTTTAATTCTCAGCACCATTGGACAGGTATAATTGCTCTCCCCATTTTACTAGTAAGAAAATAGTGGCATTTAGTCAAAGGGACTCCTTCAGAGTACTCTTGTTTCAAAATCTTCCAAGTTCAGTGAATTCCACTCTGTTCTCTATACCCCTTTCCTTCTACTTGGGGCCAGCAGCATATATGAAGCTACTTCTAGCTTGGGGCCTGAACCTGCTCCAAGAATTTGAAGTCGCCAATGTTGGTGGTAAAATTGGCTGAACATGAAAATTGCATCCTAAATGATTTCTCTAACTTGGGAAAAAGAGCTGGTCATGGTGGTGCATGCCTGTAATCCCAGCACTCGGGAGGCTGAAGCGGGAGGATCACCGTGAGTTCGAGGCCAGCCTGGGCTAATAGTGAGTTCGGGGCCAGCCTGAACTACAAAGTGAGACCCTGCCTCAAAACAAAACTGGGGGAAAAGAAACACATTTACAGTTATTTACAGTTTATTTAAAGACTGCATGGTAACCTGATCAGTTATATGTAGCCTATTGTACAACTCTGTCTTTAAAATCGGCCATATTGTTTTTCACATCTCTACTGACTGGTTTGTTTGTATCTTCTGCCTTTTCTTAGAATTCCCAGATGATGTTAATCCAGTTACCAAAGAAAAAGGTGGACCCAGGGGCCCAGAACCTACGCGATATGGAGATTGGGAACGGAAAGGGCGCTGTATTGATTTTTAAGACATATTCTTTAACTTCATTGTCATTCTCTGCACGTGTACATCTGAATTTCGTATTTCAGATTATGTTCTTTCTTTTCTATCCTTTAAGTTATCATGTGAGTGTGTGAATGTGTAAGTGGAGATTGAACCGAGGACCTTGCACGCTAGGCAAGTGCACTGAGCTACATCCTCAGCCCTAACTCATCTAATTTCTGTAATGTGTTTAAAAATATACATGATGACTTTGGAGGAAAACACACTTCTGTAAATTAGGAAAAGAAAAACTTTTACATGAGGACATATTAACATTAACAAATATACTGGGGTATGTAAAGGATTATTAGAACTGTAAACCTCTACTTCATAATTTTTTAATTTAATGAGTTGCTTGTAAAATGTATGTGTAAATAAAAACTTTAAGTGATTATGTTGCTGTCAGCTAGGTTAACGCTGGCTTTTAAAATGTGTTCAGTAGTCTTTTACAGCTTGAGAAAGCCGCTTGAGAAGTCAGGACGGAACAATCATTAACCTTGAGCCAGTTACTTAGCTCCAAATCCTCGCTCCACTTAGAGTCTACATAACCTTGGGAAAGTTATTAAAGGTCCCTGTGCTGTAGCATCTTTATGTGTCAGTTGGCGTTGATACTAGTTCCACCTCGTGGAGAAGTTGGGGAGAGTACGTGAGTAAGTACTTGTGTGTTACTCGGGGAGGGAGAGACTGAGAGAGTGTTTATTATGAGGAACTGGCTCCTGACATTGTGGAGGCTGAGGAGTCCTGCGAAACTGAAAAAGTCAGCGGTGCTGTTCAGTTCGGCTTAGAGGCCTGAGGACAGAGCGACCAACAACATAAATCTGGCTCAAGGCAAGAGAAGATGAGGTGAGACATCCCAGCTCACACTGTGATGCAGGAAAAAGGGTAGATTCCTCCTTCCTCTGACTTCTGTCCTGTCAGACCCCAAACACGGGGAATTATGCCCATTCTGCCACACTGGGGAGGGAGGGCAGTCTCCCTTACCAGGGCTGCCAGTTCAGATGTTAATCTCAAACCAGGGGTCATGACGCATGCCTGTCGTCCCAGCCACTCGGGAGGCTGTGACTCTGTGAGGCTGCTCCAGAGCGCGTGTGTTGGAGACCAGTGGGGCAGCATCACAAGACACCCTCTCATAGAAACAAAAACCAAGGCAGAAAATGTGCATATCATTGAGAAACCCCGTCATGCACACCTCATGAGGCAGTGTTTCATCTGGGTGCCCTGTGATCTTCTCAGAGGGACACAGGTTTGACACCTCAGCATGGGAACCACCTGAGGCTACATTATGAATGTATTTTCCAAATCCCCAGGCTTCCTGGGGAAAGATTATGAAGCCAAAATTTGAATATTTGAGTTAAAATTATTTCATATGAGTACTTTTTTTTTTCTTTTTTCTGGTACCAGGGGTCAAACTCAGGACCTTGCACTTGCAAGGCAGGTGTGGTGCCATTAAGCTAAATTCCTGGCCCTTCATATGAGTATTTTTAAAAAATCTTTTAAACTAAATATCATGTTTTAATTAAAAACAGTGATCATATGAGTGAACTGAACTAGAAAAAATATGTATGTTTTGGCTGGGGGTTTAGCTCATTGGTTTTGCCACCTGCTGTGCAACCGCAAGGACCAGAGTTCGATCCCCGGTACCAAAAAAAAAAAAGTATGTTTTTGAAACAGAAAGTTCAGGTATGGAAGGAAAGTATGAAAAATGCAAGGAACGGAGTGGGCCACATTAGTCTTCTTTGGTGTCTCAGAAGTGTCTTTCCTGTAGCCTTTGATAACTGGGGCAAGGAAGTTCAGTCTATTTATAGGTGTGAAATGAAGGAAGGACAGGAACTGCTGGGGTCCCCTAGGGCAGTGATGGCGAACCTTTTAGAGACTGAGTGCCCAAACTGCAACCCCAAATCCACTTACTTACTGCAAAGTGCCAGCACTTTGCACTGTAATTAAACCCAAATATCCTGTCTGACACTCAGATGCTGGGGTGCCTTGGCTTGGGTGCCGACAGGGAGGGCTCTGTGTGCCTGCTTGGCTTGCCTGCCATAGGTTCACCACCACTGCCCTTGGGCGTCCTCTGCTGTAGGTCAGTTGCACAGGTTGTTCCTTCAGCTGTGAGGCTTTACCTGAGTTACTTAGGAGAAAGGGCTTGCAGAGCCTGTGAAAGACAGTGCAGTGGCTGATAATGGCATTATGTGAGTTGGAAGTGCAGTGTTATTCCAGAGGATTGTAGGGAGACTTATTTAAGAGAGTGCATTGTATTCTCTCCAGAAACAAACCAAGTAGTGTGCCAGTTAGAACCGGTTGTCTACATCAGTGGTCATCTCTGAGTCGATATATGTTCTACTTGGAGTTACTGTGTTTGCTGCTAAGTGATAACCACGTATCTTTAAAATATCCCTAATTTAGTCAATTTCCAATTGGCCTAGATTAGTGAATATTTACTATTAATATTCCAAAGATAGTATGTTAAATTATTTTGTATTGTACGAGTATAGTAAAAGACCATAAAAAATTAACAATTTTTCTTGTGTACATTAATCATCATGGTGTATGATAGGGAAAAAACAACTTATGTACTTTAAAAATGAATATAAAATACATAATACCCAGTCTTGTATTAAGATAATAGAATCCTTCACTTGCTAATATTAATGTGTTTCATGACATTTATCAAATAATACAGGTAAAATCGATGGCATGAAAATATTGTTGGTCTTGCTGTCCATCAAACATGAATGAAAAGTCAGAGCAGATTATGGATTTGGTGCTTAGAAAGGATGAAGTGCAGCACTCAGATGTCATGTGGGGAGCAGGGCTGATTCCCTACCTGTGCAACCGGCCACTGAGCGCTGCTATCCCAGCCTGCGAGCGCGTGTGGCAGGCCTACTGACGCTGCCCCGCCTCTGAGGGCAGCACAGGCTCAGCGACTCGCAGCCTGCAATGGGAGGGTCTCCATCCCGTGCCCGGTGGCAGACCTGCCTACTCCTGTCTCGTCCGACAAACTCTTTCCGACTTAGTCCCATCTTGCCACCTTTTTGTTATAGAATCTGTATTAATATGGATGATATTAAAAAAAAACTTATAGACAAGTTTTCAGAAAATGTCACACAAAGCCTGTAGCTTTTTCTACTAGAATCATTAATTTTAATCATTGTTTTAATTTTACATTGCTTGAGGGCTTTCTGGGAAATTGTAGGTTGAGATTATATTTACAAGACTTATACCATGGAATTATTTTCATATTTGGTGCTATTTTGCTGGCTTCACCTTTGATGTATTGTCCTCCAATATTAGCTAGTCTGGTTTCATAGCAAAAAAATGATATTGTACTCTTTTAATCCTTAATTTCTAAAGTGAAACAAGTGATATGTTTAACACAAGCCACAAGAGTCCTAAACATTTTCCCATATAGTTGCCAGCTTTTACATTTCTTCTATTAATTTATTTTTCTTATAGCTTCCTAAATTTATTGGCCATTGGTCTTTTTATTACCAGTATGAGACTTTCGCTTTTCAGTTATACTGTTACTTGTTTAAAAGTTTTTTAGTTGTTTTAGTTATTTTTGTGCATCCCGTTTATTTCTTTCAATTTATCACTTGGTCTTCGGGACCTTAGCTTATTAATGTCCTCTCACGAACTCTTCTGTGTTTCCTGCCCATATGATGCCTGTTCTGTGCCCCCGGCCGCACTTGCCGACTGTGCCAGCCGAAGCTCACGGGTCTCACGCAGCCAGGCCACGGCCTCCATTCCCTCCTCCTTACCAGATGCCTAGGAAATACCTTTGAACTGTGCCTCACCTCCCTGACTGTCTTTTTGCATCATTTCCATATTCAGGATTAACGAGTTTGTAATTAATTTTCAAGTCACTTGGCTATGGGCTTCCTCACCTGCCTTGGTATTTGTAATTCATTTGCCCACCTGTACATCCCCAGCTGCCGCACAGGGGTGAGTGTGTAGTGGCTGTTCGCTCCTTACAGTCACTCAGTGTCACAGGTGGGCTCCACCGTGGCCCCGAGGCTCCCTCCTCGTGGTGTCTGCGCCCCGCATAGTGGACCTGCTCACCCGAAGTGACAGTCATCTCCTTGGTTGGGCTGCATCCGATGATAATAGCAGTAGGATATTTACTCTGGTGACCATAAACCCCACTGCTGCCACTGGCCTTCCCCAACTGGAGGAAGATTCTCCTTGGGCTTAGAACACACAAGCCGGCACCCTGTGGCTGTGCCGTTGGCTGGGCCCCGAGGCTGGGCTGTACGAGCTGAAGGTGATCCCCAGCCAGTGAGAAGACCGGGACCTCATTCGTGCACATGCAAGGCTCTGAACTTTGCCGCCACCTGAATGAGCTTAAAAAGGACTTCAAGCCTCAGGTGCGGTCCCAGCCTGACCAACACCTTCATTGCAGCCCACTGGGAGCCTGAGCAGAAGACACAGCAATTGTATCTGCTGAACAAAGGAAACTGCAATCATAAATGTATGCTCTTTTAAGCTGCTGTTCATAATTTTTTATACAGCAATATGTAACTGACACAGTATTCATGCTTCTGTGGGGCCTTGACCTTGAAACTAGAGAAAGACAGGCTGGTTTTAAGACCTTTCTTGTAAGTTGGGTAACTGGATCCTGATGTTGATTACTTACTTGTACACAACACCCTGTCCATGAGATATGCTCTGCCAGATTCTGAATATTCTCCCTCCCCCTCTCCCTTCCTCTATCCAGGGTCTCACTAAGGCCCTAAGTTGCCCAGCCTCACCTCTCAAACTTGTGATCCTCCTGCCTCAGCCTCCCAGAGCATCATCTGTGTTGAGTGAAGTCCTATTAGGTATCTGTGGGCCTTTTTCCTGTCGATCAACAAGGGCTGAGTAGTTAATGCTGATAGACTCCTTCCTGCCATGTTTTCTGTCTGCACACAGCATTGCTGCTGCTACTGTGCAGTGGCTTCCCTTCTCTGGAGCCGGTTCCTGCTGCGATCACAGCACAGCGTGCTAAGCCTGCTGGACTGAACTCCTTCAACTCCCCGCCCCAGTCTCCTTCACCAACACCAGCTGGATTTGTCTCCTCAGCAGTCCTCTAGTAACAGTTACCTCATCCAGTGTCCTGGAGTTGAGCTCAATGTCCTAGAACTGATACAGTAGGGTCCTCAAGTAATACAGAATAATTATTAATAACTAAATCAGTCAAAGACCATTTTGATACAATGTATAATGCTAATTTGTCTTTATTTAGAAAATATTAGAAACTGTTTTAAGATGTTAAACTGCTGTAAAAATGTGTTGTCTCCAGATCTTAGCAATTTATTTATTGAATGAAAATGCACTCTTGTGTGCCATGGCACATGCCTGTAATCCCAGGTACTCAATAGGCTGAGGCAGGAGGATTGCAAGTTCAAGGTCACCCTGTCTCAAAAGTGAAAAAGCCAAAAGGGCTGGAGATGTCGC